ACTACATGAAATTAACCTTAAATAACAAATATAAATTATTAGGAAATTAAAAATTAATATCTATTATTTCTAATGAAGTGATTAATAAGCTTTTGAACATATTTTAGGTTTAATTTTGATTTCATTTATTAAATGTTTAGATTAAAAAATATAATATAAGGTTCACTTGCTAATACATCATAGGTACCAAAGCTATTAACATATTATTATTTAGTATATTGATTATCATATTCAAAACCTCAAACATTGATGACGTTTAAACACAAAATTTAAAAACCAATGAAAATATAAATTGAATAATTGAAATTTATTGTTTTTTCTTTTTGTTATATATAACACATTTTTGGTAAATAACAAAAATATAATATTTTCTGTTCTATTTGTAGTTGCGGGTCGAAACGATCACCCAACTTTATGAATATAATTGTTATTATAAATGTTAATGTTAAATCAAGATTCAAAAAAAAGAATTGAATATTAAAAATTCGAAAAATTAATGAATTTGGAGGAATTCTATTTGATGAATGTCGTGTTATACATTAATACGTTTGATTCACTCACAAATTTTGTATGTGTAAATAAGAAGTGTCTATCGGTAATGAGTCGAATGCAAAGAAATTCATTTATTAGTGACAAATTTCAATTTGACATAATAAAAAATCCAACACGGAATTTATTTTGTTATTATTCTCGAATAACCAAACTTTTTCCTCGCGCGAAAACCCTATATCTTCCTTCATATTTGTGTCTCATTCCACAACTCATATATTTCAACTTTTCATTTATCGAAGTGAAAGATTTTAATGATGATAAACCAATTCCCAAAACTGAAGGTTATGAAAATTATACGTGTTACAAACAAGAATGTTTTATCACACTTGAAAACTTTAATGAAAAATCATATTTTCATAATATTTCCGTTAATGTACTTAACCGCCTTAAAACAGTGATTATTTATTCATTAGAAACAGCAGAATTTTTCGTCAAAAATGTTCGCTTATTTGAGTCGTGTAATAAAATAACACTGTGTTTAGATAGTAAACAAGGAGACAATAAAAATTTATTGTGGAAATTTTTAATAAACAACAAAAATGTGTTGTGGCATCTCAAAAATTTACAAAAAATTCGAATTTTTTTGAAAGATTTGAATTTCATTGAAATGTTACAGAAATTTACTGAAGAAGCGCCAACACTTGATATTTGTATTTATATACCAAGCACCAAGTGTATACTCAACAAAGAAAATCTCGATAAAATAAACACTTATAATAACATAACACAACTTATGAAAATTGGAAAAGTCATATTTCGAACCATTAAAAATTTAAAGCAATTTGTGAGTAATGAAATGCTTTTGAAAATTCCCGTGTCTGTTATTAATATGCCAACAAATGTTGAAATGGACGACACTTTTATAAATCAATTTGTGTCGTTTTCTCAACTCTACGCTTTTGTACCCGAACACGTGGTTTTAAGCGTAAACGATAATACAAACATCGACATGTCAAAAATTGAGTGTAAAAAGCTTGTTATAATCAACAACACTCAGTCGAAAATCCAATTGAAAATATCACCAGCGACACTTATTGTAGAATGTAACAAAGACGATGAAATTGCATTATACTCCTCATACAATATAACTATTTCTTTGCAACAATATTTCGAGTTGACATTTTTGGATGTAGTCACTGTTATTTATTTCTTTGTTAATCAGAAAAATTACAGCGAAGATGAAAATCCAATTATCGAAGTTTATAAAGACAACGAATTATTTATAAACGTTTCAAAGCAAATAGAAATACTGGGCTTTACAAAAAATCCGATAATGGCTTCTCGTCTTTTTGAAGTCTCTCAAACCCCAGTACTTGTACCTCAAACGTTAAATATGAATGAGTTATCAGAAGTCTCTTATTGTTCACAGAAAGACAATAAATACATTCCAACACGAAATTTACAGACTTTGTTTAATTGTTCCACAAATTTAACTTCACTAAAAATTGAGAATATTTCTGGTGAAGATATTTTGAACAAGAAGTCGGTCTTTTTAGATAAATTTGAATTAAAAAACCTTCAATTAAGAAATTGTAGAAATTGTATATTTCAACTGCCAAGCACTTTAACTGGACTCTCTATTTTTAATACAAATAACAGCAATTATTACTATGGAAAAGAAGACATCTTTCTCAAGTCACTATGTTTGGCAGTGGTATCAGATTACCCAGAAGACCCGACCCATTATAATATACCCAAAAACGTCGTTGTTGATTACACCGTTCAGTTTGATGAATTGAAAGAGTTTCCAGATGAACGTAATTGTAAAAATGTGCATCTTGGTGCTTTTAAATACAAAGAAATTCGCGTTGGAGTCAATTTAATTGATCGAAGAACATTTGAAAACACCAAAACGTGGAACATAGCATATAAAGAATGTTTAAATAATAATAACGTTACAAACACTCTCAAAAAGCAAAAAATGGAAGAAGAAACCGTTTTTGTTCTAGAAAATGGCACGTTTCAAGGTAAACCAAATTGTTTTGAAATAAACAATTTGGGAAGAGTTAAAGAAATTGGTGATTTTTGTTTTAAAAATTGCACGTGTAATTCTTTTGTTGATTTGTATTTACCTCATGGACTGACTAAAATAGGATATGGCGCCTTTGAAAATATCAGAGTACTGACAGCCGTTCATCTGAATGAAAGTATAACAAAACTCCCTTATAAGTGCTTTGCTGGTGATAGTAATTTAGAGGAGATAACGTCTCCATTGAATGTAGTTGAAATTGACGATTACGCTTTGTCCAAGTGCAAAAATCTAATAAAACACCCCAAATTAGTACATTCAAAAAATGTCAAATATGATGATCGGTGGACACTGAAGTTCTGTAATATAACAAATGTGGAAGTGCCAGAAGACGTAGACGAACTTAAGGATTTTTGTTTTAAAGGATTGACATCACTCGAGTGTATTAAAGTGATGAACGCAACATGTTTGTTTGGAAAACAGTGTTTTGTGGGATGCAGTAACATTAAAAGTATTTATTTGAAAGAAAGTGTGAGGTTTGATAAGTATCTAGTATTCGCTAATTTGTCGTCACTCACTTCAATTAAACTTCCAACTACACTTACAAAAATTCGAAACTTTATGTTTAAAAACTGTATTAAATTAAAAGATGTTATTATAAATAACGGTGTTGTCAAAATAGGCGACTCGGCTTTTCAAAATTGTGAAAGTCTCAAGAATATTGACATCCCACATAATGTCACAAAAATTGGATTGTCGTGTTTTAAAGGATGCACTTCTTTATGTGAAATTTGTTGTACAAGTTCACTACGTTTTCCACGTTCAAGTTTATTAGGTATACAAGCATCATTTAATTTGATTTGATTTATTTTTTGTTTAATTTTAACACTTAAACATAAATTAAGTTTGCTGCAAATTATTTAAAATTACAATATTAACTCACCAACGTTCACAACATGTTTTGACTGAAACTACAAAAACGGTAATATTTATTATATTTTTATTAAAAAATATCACAATTAATAATTAGTATTGTTAATAAATTTATTTTCAAGTTTAATCATTATGTTTTTATTGAACAAAATTAATACTTATTTTGAGTTATTTTTTAAATAAGTGCCAATACCATCATCGCAATTATAGAGATGATTACTCCAAAACTGTTATCGTTATCGGGTGGAGTATCAATAGAATTCTTACCATAGTAATATATAACGTAGTTCTCTTCATTGTTGAAGGTGCAATAATCATATCTTTGAGATATCTTTGGTGTATCTGCATTTGGTGTTTCGCATTTCGAGTCATAGTAGTTAAAAGTTATACTATCTTTTGTAGTTGTAAAGTTGTATGAATTTTGTTCATTACAAGTAGCCAATTTTGTATAATAACGGTCAGCACCAACAAGATTTAACACATTCATTACGTCACATGCATAATCTTTGTAATAACGTTCAATGTAGTAATAATCTGGGATTGTTGTTATTTGAGTAACTTTGTATTCATTTCCTGTTTCGGCATTTTTTGAATCGTGAGCTGTATCACAATCATCACTTTGATAGAACAATCCATCTTCTTTGACCAAATTGATTTTTTTACCATCTGAATTAATGTAATCTCTATAACATTTATCTTCAAAATATATTTCAAAATAATTTCCTGAATCACGTTTATAAATATTGTTTAAAGTGTATTGGACCTTGTATTTTCCATAATCAAGGCATGTGTTAATGGGAATAGACAAAGGTATGTCTGCTGATAAAAATAAACATTCACTGTTTGTGTAATAAGTAAATGAAACGTTTCTACCATTAAAAATGGGAACAAAATGTTTATTATCCATGTTTATACATTGATAAGAACCATAATATTGAACTGGTAATGCCTTTGAATCATTGGTACAAGAACTGGAACCGATATAAAATGTTTCCTTAAAATAGTAAAATCCAATAGCTTTTGCAGTTGTAGAAGTAAATATTTGTGAATCAAAATCGTGAGTTGCTGTATCAATAGTCCAACCAGTGGCTTCACTTGAACATGATGCACTGAAGTATAATTGATATTTCGAATCTGAATCTTTATCCACTTTTTGGTACATTTTTTTAGAGTCCGTTGAATTCGTAACATAACATTTGCCAACATTGTATACAATAAAGTATCTATCACAATTTTCTTTTGCATAAGTTTTTGCGGCTATGGTGAATGAAAGAAGAAAGAGAACAAACATTTGTTTAATAGAAAGATTTAATTCTTTATATACACTTTTTAAATTTTACACAAATATCAATATTAAACTATTCATTATCGAAAGTAACGAATAGTTAATTAGCTTTTATTGGAATATATTA